ATAATTATATTATTTTTTTCTTCAGTCGAACAAGTAATAAATAAAAAAGAAGCGCTTTTTAATTAATTTAAGCGATAGGCAATTTTAGGCACGTTTGAGATGTAGACCATGTGTTCATACCCGATCCTTGGTCGATTTTGTTTTTAATAAAGTAGTCATGTGTGCTTTCCCGCTCCTTGACTTTTCAATATTAATTGTATTTCAACCATGTGTACCGACACGTTCTTTGTTTTAATATATATAATCAAATAAGGACTTTGTGTGCTTGCACGCTCCTAGGCCAAAATTATTAATTATTAAGCAGCACTAGACAATAGTAACTTATGGCAAATAATACACATTTTATCCAAAAATAATTCAAGCCAAATTTTAGTCAATAAAAGCGACCGTGCTAGAACCACGGGATTCGGGGAATGCCTTACACCTTCTCCCCGGTTAACAGAATTCCTTACCCGGACTTTGTTTTTGCAGACCAATAATAATAGAGTCAAATCTTCCTTTGATTAGGGATTCAAATAAAAGGTGACTTGGAACACCAACAAAATCAATTCCAAGTGGCGACTCTGTAAATAAATTAATCCCTACTCAATTTTGTCACTTTAATTGGAAAAATCCTTTAATCCACACAATATTATTTTACGGGTAGAAAAAGGGGGGTGACAATAATAACCAGAAAGGAAACACAGAAAAAGTAAGGCAATTAACTGATGAAAATAAACTCAATCCTCGAAATCAGTAGAACCAGAAACATCAGTCCTCATTATCTCGTATGAAAACACCGAAAGCTAACACAATGCAACAATGAATACAAAATACACAATTAGTTGCGGCGCGCAACCCAATCCCACCGTACAAACACAATCCTCCATTATTTCACCATATTAATATCAAGAATAACTTATAAAATTTGTTGTGGCGCACAACCCGATCCCACCATATAATCAAAATCAATATCATAATCCTCCCTTATTTCACCATATCAAAATCACATATATAATTTGTTGCGGCGTATAATCCGATTCCACCATATCGATATCAATCCTCCCTTATTCCACTCATTGCGGCGTGCAACCCGATCCATAAACAAAATCAATAATTATAATCCATTCAACAACTCAATTTACAAGAATCTCTACGATTAAAGAATATGAAAGCGAAGCCATAAAGGAACCTCGTACCAAATCAAGGAATGCTACAATTAATACAAAGCAACAAGACAAGCCAAATATAAATAATTAAAGTGTACAAGTAAGACAATTAAGACAAGTAATAATTAATCATGGAAGTATGGAAGAAACAGACATTTTAATACGAGAGTCGTAAGTGACAAGTAGCAAGTTAAGGCATAGAGAGCAATTAAAGCGTGTAACAGTTAAGACATGGAATAAAATAATTAATGAAATACAGAAAAGCATGGAAATAATTATTTTGACGGCGTATATACACTTGTTACCTCGCAAATCAAAGCTCAATCTGGGCCTTTCCTCTAAAATCCGCCTCCAAACCAATCAAATCTAAACCAAATCGACTCAATAACATCAAACATTTCTAGAGAAATCAATTACAATACATAAAGTTAAGATCTTTACACTTTTTTCAAAAAGTCAACAAAAGTCAATCCCGAGCCCTCTTGGTCAAAACTCGAGATTCGGACCAAAAACCAATTATCCATTCACCCCCGAGCTCGATTATGCAATTAGTTTCGAAATTCGACATCAAATATTGAGGTCTAAATCTCAATTTTACAAAAACCTCCCAATTCTTCCCAAATCCCTAATTTTCTACCATGAAAGATAGATTGTGGTTAGAAATTAATGGGTGATGATGAAAATGGAAGAAAACGAGTTAAAGTACACTAACCTATGAAATAGTGATGAAATTTCTCTTCAAAATCGCCTCTAGGCCGAGCTCTAATGAGAAGATGGTGAAAAATGGGTGAAATCCCGTGTTTGGGATATTTTAAAGTCTGGGCATCATGTGTTCATCACGTTCGCGAGACACCTGACACGATCGCGAAGCAGCAGCGTCCAAAGCCCTACGCGTTCGTGAGGGGATGCACGCGTTCGTGATGGTCTGTCCCCCCTGGACATCTCGTTCGCGTAGAGCAAACCCAAGATCCCCCTCCCAGGCCCCTTACTCTTCGCGTTCGCGTAGTGCTGGTCGCGTTCGTGAAGGGTGATCCCACCATAACTTCTCGTTCGCGTACAGGAAAAGCCTCCCAGCCCATATTACTCTTTGCGATCGTTGGAGTATCTTTGCGATCGCGAAGAAGAACACACCAGATATCAGCAGGAGCCCAAAACCAGCAAATGCTTCTAAGTTCAAATGGTCTGTAGCCTATCCGAAACTCACCCGAGCCTCTCGGGCCCCAAACCAAATATGCACACAAGTGTAATAACATCATACGAACTTGCTCTTACAATCAAAATATCAAAATAACGCCTAGAACCACGAATCGGATGCCAAAACGAATGAAATTTTCAAAGAAACTTCAAAACTCTCAATTTTACAAACGGACGTTCGAATCACGTTAAATCAATATTGTTTTGCACCAAATTTTACAAACAAGTCATAAATACTTAAATGAACCTATACCAAGTTCCAGAACCGAAATCCGAACCCGGTAGCAATAAAATTCAACCTACGATCAAACATAAAAATTCTTTTAGCCTTCAAATTATTAGTTTTCAACAAATTACGTTAAATCAAGTTAGGGACTTCCGAATTCGATTACGGGCATACGCCCGAGTCCCAAATCACTATACGAACCCATCGGGGCCGTCAAAATAATGATCCGGATCTGTTTACATAAAACGTTGACCGTAGTCAACTCAAATGAGTTTTAAGACACGATTTCATATTTTTATCAATTTTCTCATAAAAACTTTTCAGAAAAAGGACACTGACTGTGTACGCAAATCGAGGAAGGCTAAACTGATCTATTCGAGGTCTCGAAATATAAAAATAAAGGTTAAAACTATAAATGACCTATCGGGTTATCACAAAACTGCAGGAGTTTAGGAGTCAACTTGAGTTGGCTCATATTTGACCAACAAAGTATGTTAGATAAATTATTATAAGACTTGAAGAAATACTCAATGTTCTAAGGACCAATGGAGAAGTATTAGAAGAAGCTAAAGTTGTTGAAAAGATATTGCAGTCTCTAAGTTTAAAGTTTCACAATAAGAAAGTTTAGCATTCTCAGACTTGATGACTTAGAAGGAGAATTAGTGACATATGAGAGATTACTGAATCAACAGAAAGATGAGACATTGGAGGAGGTATCACAAGAAAAGGATGAACCAAAAGAAAAAGAAACACATTAAATATGGCTAAAATAAATCAAGAAGGCTAAATATCATAAATAGAGGAGAAAAGAAGAGAAGGTACATGTAATGTTTATTGTAATAGAGATTCCATTAATTGCAAAGAAAAGTCAAATAGTATCCAAATTGATCTTTCAAACATTTTAGCGATAGTTAAAAAGGATGATTTGGTTGTAAGGGATGCCCATCCAGAAGAGGTTGGTGTTTCACAAGAAAAATTATTTGATGCTATTGAAGATAAACCTAGTAATGAATGAAGCATTAAGATGGTTCATCAAGAGAAAGGTTCTGATAATCTACCCAAGATTGAGGAAGAAATAGCTTGGGATCCAGAACCACAACAACGCATGATTATAGATATTGAAGATACAATCAATTTGGTATCATTATTCGAGATTGCATGTTTCAAGGAGTATGACGAAATATTATTGGTGACATTACTGTACAACCTATAGAATGGCCAATTGGAGTTGAACGGGTATACAAAACCAACCACAAGGCAATTAGAGAAGTAAATGGTTCCAAAGTAAGGGAAAAATATGTTGATGATATTTGAAGGAATTTACCATGGTTAAAGCTACATCATATATAATCAATATTGAAGAGAATTTGAAATTGACTAAAGAAGGCACTCGTGATTTTGTTGATGCTACATATTTTAGAAAATTAGTGGAGAGTCTAAGGTACTTGACTTCTACAATGCTTGATGTTACTGACATGCTCAAGCTTGAAGATCTTGGTTTAAGGGAATTACTATGTCGCCTAGGATTTGATGTTTATTAGTTTATTTAATTCATGTCTAGTTAGGTTTTATTTATCAAATTCATATTGGAATAGGTTTTGTTAGTTAGTCAAATTTAATTTGTAGTATTTTAAATTGGAGGTGCTACTACATAGTATTTTCAATCGTGGAGAGGTAGTTATGATGCAGAGAGATTCAAGAATTTATGAGTGAAGAAAAAGTCTCGTGGCCCGTTCTATCTCTAAGTTATATAAATTTCTTCTATATAATCTTTGTTAATTTTTTTGCTTGTGCCTAAATTGTTCTTTGGGGTATTTCAATCCTTCAAAATAGACATATCTTAATATGGTTTGGTCAGCTAACCTACAAATAAGAAAACTAATGTAAAAGAAAATATAAACTATCGAGAGAATAATCTCCCTCTAAATAAGACTCTTTTAATGACTACATTATGGATACTATTATTTTTGTTGTATGAGAAGGAATGATCTTCAATTTATAGAAGTACAAAACTTTTCCTCTAAAAAAAGGATTCGTCAAATATGAAAATGATTTACATTTTCCTTCTAGGAAATGTAAAATCAATTATGAAAAAAAAATTGCCCTACCTTTGACAAAAGATAAAATCCAAATATGATAAGAAAATTAAGGCAAAATACTACTCTTATAACATAGGAGATCAAAATAGTTTTGGACAATAATAAGCACTCCAAAAAATTCCTTCCACTAGTATGCATTTGGCAGTTTACATGGTTTTGGAAGTACGGTATCACCACTCAATAATCTATTACTCTCTGGAGTCGACCTTTGTTTCACAAAAAGTAGTTAAAAATTAGGGTTATGTTTGATATGAAGTCTACAATTGGGGACGAGTTAACCACTTTACGGAGTCTAAAAATGCTAACAAGATGCAGAAAATGATACTCCAATCAAAGTTACAAAATATCAACTCTTATTAAACAAATCAACCACAAGATTGAAAACGATTTTAAATAATAACCGACTTGAATTTCAATATTCCTAAACATCACTATTTTAGCTAGGATCAAGAAATAGCATCTTTCTTCATTTCAACTTGCAAAGTTCCAATCTTCTTAGTAATAGGAGTAGGTAAAGCCAGCCTACTTTCCTTTTCCACTCTCTTCTCCAACTTCTTAAGAACTTTCCCAAATAATTCCATTTTTACACTCTCCAAAGCCATATCCAACCTCTCCAAAACCTCCATAGAATTACTATTATACACAAACAAACCATAATACAAATCAAAGCTATCAGCAGTTGTATTCTCCATCAAATTCAACAATTTTTCGTACCCTTTTGTATTTATAGGTGTTGTCTCCGGTCCTAGTTTTTGCAACACTCTGCCTATAGTATGTGTAATAAATTGTGAGCCAGCAGCATACTTGTCATGTTCAGAACAACTCATTTCCACCATCCTACAACCTTCTTTTTCGAAAATATTAATGAACTTGTTGACCCTTTGAATCCTAGAATCCTGTTGTCCAATTCGAACTTTGTCAAACATAAATGGTAGCCCCTTCCAATTGTCCTTTCCACTTGTTGGACCAAACATAGGATGAGTACATAAAATGTCAAATTCTTGAGGTAGTAATTGAAGAAAAATGTTCTTGGGAAATTCTTTGACGGATAGCACGTCTATGAAAAGTGTGTTACGCTTAAGCTTTTGGATGGGAAGGGAACGAAGGACTCGTTCGAGGGAATTAATGGAAGTGCAGAGTACGACGATGTCAGGATGTTGCTCACATATGTCATGAGGATCTTGGAAAAAGTTGACGTTTAGGGATTTTGCTACGGGGGAATAGTCAGTACGAGAATGAGCTAGTACAATGTGACCTTGTTGAATAAAAGCCTTGGCAATGAATTGTCCAAAGTTACCAAAGCCTATAATAGCTATTTTAAGCTTGTTGGAGTTGGAAAGAGAATACGATGACGTATTTTCTTCGATTTTCAAGAAACTCGATGATCTAGAAATTTCTTGAAGTATGGTTTGATTGTCATCAATTCGATTTGGATTTGAGGCGTTGGTGGCGGTGGTAGTGGTTACATCATAATTTTGGGCACGAAAAGAGAAAAGTAAGTGGTGTCGAGGTCGAGTTGAAATGATCGAATGACGAAAATGACCGTGGTGGTGGTTGTTGTAGAGTAGGGATGAAGATGAATGAGTTTGAATAATATTGTTGGATTGTATAGATGAAAGGGAAAACATGGTTTGGTTTTTATTGAACCTAATAAAAATTGAAGTGAATGTTAGTCTTCTCTTCTTAGACAATAGGAGGGAGAGAAAAAAGCACTCTTGAAATAGGGCTTGTTGTACGTGGAGGAAAAGAAAGCTCCCCTATTGTAGGAAGAAATCAAAGAGAGAGCTTTCAACTAAAGATGAAATGCTTAATAAGAGTTTATATAGGGGATGTTTGCGATTGTATAGGTGCGAGGAAAGCGACATAACAATCTAAATAAAAATATGGTAAATACAGATTAATCATTAAATAAAAGTGTACTATGAAAGAAAATTATTTTATTATAAATCTAAGGATGCTTTCTATAATATTACACAAATCTTCGCACATTAAATAACCTAGTAACACTCTTATTTATAATAGTTTAAAATCTTTTAACCAGAAATATGAAAACATATTCTTATATGTATTTGACTATAAGTATATTTCGACATAAATTAAATAAACTATCAAATATCGAATACTAAATAATTTAGGTTTTCTATTCCCAATTTTAAATTAGTCTTTCCAAAAAGAAAAGTTGGAACAATTCAAAGCACTTGTAAGAAGAGGTGAATTATAGAATTATACCTTTATTTTATTGAAGACTTTGTTGGCTGTCTCAGTCTTTTCTCGTGTGCAAACACCAATATTAGCACGTGAATTTATGTCAAATTCTAGGGCTGCTGAATTTTTTATTTGCAATTGGCTCAAATGTGACATTCGTAGCAGGTTCTCAACCTAGGATTGCACATACACTTCAAAGGATTGGATTGTTTTTAGATTCACTTGCTTTATTTTTGTGGGGTTTGTACTAGTGCGTCATTACATATCTAAGTAATATGTTTCGTATTGTCATGATTAAAATGCACAGAATTGAAATGCAGGAAGTGAAAGTGCCACATGACTGCTCATGGTGTTGGCGGTGCCGGATTTTTAATAAAGAATAATAACAATATATTCGGTGTAATCTCACAAGTGGGTCTGAAAAAAGTAGTGTGTACGCAAACCTTATCTTAACTCGTGAAGATAGAGAAGTTGTTTCCGAAACAGAGACGGATCCAAGATTTCAAAAGGATGGATGCACTATTGTAATGAGGTGGATCTAGAATTTATATTTGACAGGTTTAACTTTAGTCTCTTACTATGAACCCACTACACTTTTGAAATTATAGGTTCAAAATTATATTCTTTTTGAAATTTTAGTAACTAATAAAACTAAGGCCTTTAGGAACAAGTGAAGTTTTAGTAACTAACTAATAAAACAACTATGATATTATTGTTAGGAACACAAACCCTTTATTCTTGGAAAGCATACAGTATATTCTATACAAAAACCAACTTGTTCTTCCCATAACACTCTTGGGACAAAACTAAGGCCAATAATGAAGAAACAGATTCAGTTTTTTCAATTATAGTTTCAACCATTCCAAGCAAGGACAAAGGCCCCAACAAAACCTAGAAGGATAGTAGTCTTTCATATAAACCTCTCTTCCATTTCCAATGATATAGAAACTGAAGGAGCGATTACGATCAGTCATGGTCACGCGAGTCACCGGGACAACAGAGATGGTGTGTCGCTCGCATATGATCCTTGCAGTAGTAGGTATAGAAGGCCTCTCTGCAATTACTTCAGAAGAGAACTTGTTAAGAAAATATGAATCAGCAAAGTAGGCTGGAGTGCACTGGTAAGCTTGGTTATTGCACAACTGAACTCCCTTCGCTCGGTGAAACACGTCATCTGGAACAGAACCTGCTCCACTTGTAGCGTTTACTTTCCGGGTTGAAAGTGTCCTCCTATGAAAACATGTCAAGTTTGCACGCCATGTTAGTCCTCTACATCAGTACCAAAATCTACGAGATACCTTAAATCATATGGATAAGTCGATAAGATACTGTTTGCTATAACGATGACCAAAGTCCTCATCTTTCACGCTTCATGGCATACAGTTATGTCGAATTAGACAAGTCAAGTGCTTTAGAGCCATCAATTCCGGACAGAACTATTACGAAACCACAAAGGGATTATTATGTTGTGATGGGTGTCAGTTAATGTGGGTATTCTGTTGGGCAATTGGTTTATTTTTCTGGACACAATGCAGGGCATAGAACGAGGCAACACAATAAATACAGAATGCCTGATCATTCAGTTGACAACCTCATGATTTCCTTGATTGTAATATGCATGACTAATTGAGTATAATAAATCAAAAGTAAAGATAGATTACCATCTAACAACAGCTACTTTCCATGCCAAAAGAGAGCCACCACCTTGGCATGTTTGGCATTTGATCAGGCCACGAGATTCACATGTCGCACAAGGAATTTTCCCATTACCTTTACACTTCAGGCATCTGCAAAAGAAAGATGTTTTCGGTAAATCATTTAGAATTGTCAGACACCTCAATTTTCTTTTTTGGGGGGAGGGGGATCAGCAGTTTAAAAAGGATTTGCATTTGTTTCCAGAAAGGCAAAAACACTGAAAGAGAACGGAATTTAGACGCTGAAATAGTAGAATATTTTTTATTCTTTCATCTATGGTTAGTCAAGGAAAAAAGAATAAACTTGACCAAGAAATGCACTGAAACAGTTAACAATCTGTCAAAAGCTCACATTGTGTCAGATCCGTCCTTGTGAGCAATTAGACCCCTTCCGTAGCAAGTCAGACACTGGGCCATTTGACCCTCCTTGTAAAACCCTGGATCTTGATCTGCATTGCAAGTAGGACAAACTATATTTCCACGACCATCACAACCTGTGAAACAGTTAGAGCGAAATCATGAAAATCACTCCAACTTTAACCCAAGAACCACATGATAGGAAAAGGTTAAAAGACTACGTAGACAGTTCAGCAATGACACAAGTTTGTTTTATTATACACTTTTTAAGAGGTTATTTTACTATACTATTAACAATGCAAAATGATTATCCCACAAACCATGTCTATTACCTGAACATTTCTCTATAGTTTCCGAATGAGGAATTCTCAGTCGTGACTCCTTGTAAGGCACAAACAATACAGGAAATTCAGACCTTAAATCCAACTCCCATATTCCCATTTCAGGCCCCTTGTCCTTTCCGTCAATGCTGCCAGTGGAGTATGGCTCCTTCTCTATAATTGTATCTCTCTCTTCCGTGAAAGTTTCTAGCGTTCCCACATAGACATTGCAATCTTCAATTGCATGAATCTTCCAGGTCCGAGCTGGACGACTTCCCCAACAGCAGCGATGGCCAACATGATCTATAAGCAACTCTCGTACTTCTACATCGTCTAGCACTTGCCTGCCAAAAGAGTTAGTTAATCAACATGCTGTTGCAAAAATAACCACAATGTAAAATTCAAGGAGCCAAAAAGGAAGAAAATATAGACGAATGCACAAAACTATAGTAATAATTAGTAACATATGGAAATCATCTTTATGTCGTAACTCTTCAAATATTGTAAGGTCCTAGTCCTTTTTATTACTTGTTTCAGAACACTAATTGGTGCACCAAAACCAGCAGTAAAGGAAAATAGTGCAACTATAATGGTAATGATTTCTAATACTTAAAGAAACCCATATTTATTAAGTATTTGAAATCATTACCATTAGGGTTGCACTATTTTCAAATACTTAATAAAACACATGTGGCCCAAGCAAGACCTGTGTTCGGAGGAATGCTGTGTAATTACCTCCTTAGATCACCAGCGGCTTCACCTGCAGCTCCATAGTACCCACCTTGATAAACAATCCCTTGCTCTGCTAGAAAAGAGAATATATTTTATTTTCTAACGCAATATTCACCAATAAGACAGTGATGAAACTGCAGGGAAGTTATACATATACTCTAGAGCAAAAAAAAAAACTTGTGCCTTAGCGCAAGTGACCTAATCACAGCTGTGAACTTTACCAAGGAAAAACAAAAAGGGGATAAAGTCGCAAAGGCATCAACATCGTATCATGAATCATCCACCAAAATAAGGCAGTAAACATTTAGCCAGATAGCTTTAATGTATTTAACGATAGAACTTTCATAAAAGACATGGTGTTGAAACTTAATGCAAGTGATAAGACCAGAGGTTTGGTACTAACCAACTGCCAACCGTGAATAAGCAAGCACCACCAACATAGGTATGAGTTTATAAAGAACAACTACAACAACATACCTAGTATATTCCCAACAGGTGGGGTCTGGGGAGGGTAGTATGTATGCAAACCTTACCCCTACCTACCGAAGGTAGAGAGGTTGTTTCCAATAGACCCTCGGCTCGGAAAGAAGAAGAAGAAGGAGGAGGAGGAGGAGGAGGAGGAGGAAAGCAAGAAAGGAAGAGAGAAGAAAAAGAGGGAGATAAAGGATAAGTAGTACAAAATAATAACAACAGCGAATACAATACCTGAGGCAAACAATGAGTTTATAAAGAAGAGAGGAAAAAATGGTAGGCTCTCAAGCCATATTAGAGAAGATTGTATTTAACTCCATCTTGTAATACCAATATGAGAAGCTCCTAACTCAAATCTGAAGGTAGGTCTATTACCCCCTTCATCAAAGTTCAATAAACTGAAAAGTCCCAAAGCTAGAAGACAATTAAAAATTGTTGTACAATTAAATCAAACCAAGCAAATGAACTAAAATGGTAATACAGTAAACTAAGGCAAAGATTAAGGACCTTTAGCGCTCAGCAATCCATTTTGTATATGTCACTCTTTCTTCTAAGTTTGTTCGAAAAAGAATGACATATTTTATATTAAAAAATTTTCAACTTCAAAAATCTCATTTAACCCTTAATGAAGTATACTTATAGCCACAAAAATATCATGGCATGTTTAAACCCACAGGTCCGAATGGTACTTTTGGAATTTGCCAAGAGTCTTTTGTTTTTATTAAAATCTATGCCCCGTCGAACACCACCTTATAAAATAAACCAAAGGGAGTATATAAAACTCAACACAAAATAAGCCAGTATAAGATAATATGTCCGCGGGCGACTTACCGTAAGATTGTGGCTGAGATTGGGATTGGGGAGAGCTAATCAAGGGGGCATGGAGATAAGGAGAGTAAGGCACTGACATAGAAGCAGCAGACCGAATCTCATCGACACTGACTTCTGATCCGGCCAAGGATGTCGTAGGGATCACAGAGCCCGCCCTTCCCACATTCTCATAAGAACTCCATCTCTCACTCCCTCTTTG